GGCAGGGCTCTGGAACAAACTGAGCTGTAAGGTCCCTCCCAGCCCAAACCGTGCCATTATTCTGTGATTCTGTATGTGTATTTGGAGTGGGTAGTGTGAGGAGGATTCCCCTGCCCAAGTCCACCCCTGGACCATCTCTGGAAGCCCAGAGCCATGGCAGGATGTTTAACTCACAGCTCTGTCAGCGTGGCTGGGACAGGCATCCGAGTTGGGTTCAGAGACAGGTTTGCTGTAAATACAACTGAAATAAGTTTTAAATACAGGTATATATGTGTCTGTATACACAAACCCAGCCTCCCTTTTTTCCCCTCTTTGTTTGTAGGAGAACAAACCTCAAAGCTCTTTCAGTCAGTTGTGACTCAGCATAATGGCCAGGAGAAAGCTGAGAGCACAGTCCTGAACCTGAATGCTTGCTCTCTTTGGGGTTTGCTCCCTCCTGAGGTTTGTTGGGTTTTTATAAAATAGCTTACGCTGCCTTGATGATCCTAAAACAAGGCCAGGAAGAAAATTCTCAAAAATGCTGATTTTCAAACTAAATTATAGAATGGAAGATCAAATCCCCCTTCCCACTGAGACTGACAGTTCCAGCATGGTGGTACCCTGGGACATTGGATTCCTGATGGTGGGGCTGGCAGGTCCTGGCTTTAATACAGGAGTCCTGTCCCATCCCATGGATCCCATGGATCCCATGGATCCCATCCCATCCCATCCCATCCCATCCCATCCCATCCCATCCCATCCCATTATCCCATCCCATTATCCCATCCCGTTATCCCATCCATCCCATCCTTGGATGCAGGGGAAGAGGACACAGAAGAGGACCCCAGTGTTTCCCTTGGGAATGCTGGTTCCTCACCCCAACACAGGCCTGAGTTTCCCCTTTCAGCTCCAGGTTTATTTTTTAAACACTGAAATCTGGGATGGAGGAACCAGACCCACGAGGGTCCCATGGTGCAGGTGGGAGCACCGTGTGCCCCTGGCATTCACAGAACAGATGCTCATTGGAGAAAATCAAATTCATCCACCCTTGCTGAGCCTCGATGGGCCTGGAGATGGGAGAAGAAGTGTGCTGGTGGTTGTGAGCAGCATGTGGGGTCACCAGAGACCCCAGGAACTGGTGGGGACTGGGTGAGATGGGAAATGCCAGGGCTCTCCCATCCCAGTGCAAGCAGGACAGACCCCTCAGCAGGACAGACACCTCAGATGCAGGTGATCCCATGGAGCTGCAGGGCTGGGAAGGAGCAGGACAAGCTCCTGGCCTAATGGTGCTCCTGTTCCGTGCTGCTTCTTCACATCTGGTCGCCAAAGAGTCACTCTGTCACCCTGCAGCCTGCTAATGAGATCCCCCATTTAATTAATACCATAAGAATTTTAATTCTGACTGAATCAATTTAACGTGATGTGATTTTGTCAGCTCTATTCCCCAAGTAAAAAGTGAGCCTGATGCTTATTACATACATCATTTCACGGGCTCTGCATTCCCTGCTGACTTAAACAAATTCTAATTAAGACTAATTAAAGCATCATTTATGAAAGCGCTTGTGATAGCTATGCAAACATTCTGGGTGGGTATGCTTTGCATAATAATTATCCTAGTTAATATTAAGGCTAGGTCCTTGGCAATTAGGTCTTTGAAACAGAGAGTTATTCTGAATTTAGCCCTTTCCACTGTTAGCAATTAATAACAAAAAATAATGTGCTAAATTTATGTAGTGACTTCATTAACCGGATGCATTTAGAAGTTGTGGGTTTGTTTGCATTTTTGAGTTTAGGCGCAGTTTCTGAGCCAGGTGAGGATATTGAACCAAGGAAGGGCTCCTGGGGCCGTGTCGGGAGGAGCTGTGGCTGCAGTGACACTCCCACTGGGGATGTCCTGTGCCCCATGGAGCTCCTCTCCTGCAGGCCCTGGTCACAGAGCAGCAACTGGCAGGTTTAGAACATTTTGGAACAAGCCAAGCATTGGCTCCATTTGGTTCAGTTTGTGTTCCCTAGGTTGGAGAGGTTTTCCAGTTCCTGCAGCAGCTGCTGGAATTTGGGAGTGGAGTGATGTAGAGATGAAGGGATTGGTGCCATTGGGTCCATCCACTGACCAAAGGAGCATTTCCTTGGCTGGTGCTTGGGCCATAAAATCAAATCAACTTTCCCAGCCCTGTAAGAGCTTCTGGCTGTGCTCCCCATGGGGCAGGGGCACAGTGTTGTGCAGATTCTCCAAATATTCTACTTTTTCTCTGAAGGCAGAGAGTGGCCTGGGGCGTGTGTAACAGCTCTGCTCCCTAAACCTGCCCTGGGGAAAAGAGTTTGGTTGAACCTCCTGCTCTGGTGTGGGTTACAGCTCCCACACACCTTCAGGAGATGCTATGGGATGCAAGGTGACAGGA